TCTACTCTTTTGACTCTGAATATTGTACCCTGTACGTACCCAGTGATTTCTTTGTTTGATAACTTTCCATGTGATATTTCAACAAGTATAGGCGCTTATGGAGGGTCTCTTATCATGTATTTAAATGATCTGTATCATTTTCAACGAATTTCCATTGTTAAGGCGAATGACGTGATGGCGTCTTATTGTGCGGCCCGTCTTGGACCTCCTCCTTCGTTCCCGTCTACCAGCTGTATGCAGGATAGTGACTGTGGTAGCAGGTTAGTCCACCATTTCTGGGACCCTCTTGATCTTTAATGGTCAATCGTTTTCTACTCTGCTTGAAAAAAAAAACTGAAAAGTAGGTTGTTTGGGGAAAAGCTGATGAGTTCGAGTCTAGAAAGCTCGTACGTTTTCCCGTCGTTTTCCAAGCTTCTCAAATCAAATAATTGTGTTCCAGTTGAGTCATCTGAAACAATCCATTACCTAGTATCACTTGTCGCTGTTATAAGTAAACTAGCATAAGTTGAAGAGTAATAGTTAACTGGAAAATAAGCCGGGCAATCCATTAAGGCGCCTACTTTCCTGCACCTTCGCTTTACTGATGTTTTGTAAGTATTTTTCGGCACCTTCTTAAGTGAAAAAGTCTGTACTGTTTATCAGTCGCTATCTGTTTCTTTGCGAGTGATGTAACTAATTACCAGTAGCTCATTATCAATTACAATTACTGCTTACCTTGCGATTTTCCCTACCGATATGGGTTTTGTGAAACTGCTACGGGATTGTTCAATTAGGGAAGGAAAGCTCAGTTAGGTAAATTGAAAGATTATCAAAATCGAATTATACTTTGTAGTGGGGCTAATATTATTAGGACCCCAAAGCCTGTTTGACGAATTGTTTTTCAAAGAAGATATGGCGCAGTGGTATCATGACAGGATTGCGGGCTCGAGATCAGTTGCTCGGTTCCTCCTCTGGCATCATTTTGCTTTATTTGCAAGTGAAATTGCAAAGATTTCTGCAAGCACTCTGGGGTGTCTGTAACACAATCCCATCGTTGATAAACATTTAAAATTAGAAGAAAATGCAACCAAAATCCATTTGAAATCGATGAGGCAAAGTTGTCAAGCACTTTCTTGTCATACAGTTTTTCATGGCCACTAATTAAAAAAGCGAAAGTCAAAAAACGAATCTATTGACTCATTAGAGCCAGACTGAGCCTTTGCACGACTCTGTGCTACAGAAACCGGGGAAAACATTTTGTTCTGCAAATCTCTGAGAGGGTTTGCAAATTCTTTTTAGTTGTATAAGCCTAAGTAAGTGCCGAAGAACACCACCGTACATTAGTCTCTCCTCGCCTGGCGTCGTCCTTGTATCCTCAACACCATCTTACCATCCTATCTTCTAAGTTATACTTGTAAGTAAAAGATCTATAAAGACTTTTTCCCTTCTCAATCTACTGTCATAGTTAAAGTTATCGATAGAACAGCCACATGTACAAGATCTTAGTTTTACTACTTTTACTGTTATCTAGTTAGGCCTATCCACACATTTCATATTTTTAAGAAGTTGCAATAGTTCATGGTTGTAGGGGGAGGGGGGGGGGGTGNGGGGGTGTTGGGTGGGGAAATTTGGTTTTTATTCAGTCGAATGCGATAGGTTCAAGTGGTGTTCATCGTCAGATACATCTAGAACCCCATGGATCGAATCCTAAATCCTCTTTTTTTTATTTCAAACTTAAATTTATCGATAAAATGAGTTAGGAGATAGTACTTGGTCCTAAGTAACGTTTTATGAGCCCAAATGTTCAGCAGAGATCACTAGAATCCTTTTGAGAACCTCTTTTTTTTACAACAGTCGTAAAATGAAATATTTTTAGTACAAGTTTGAAAAGTACAATTCCAGCTATGCAGTAATGTTTGAATGATTTCAGCTCCGGCCTTGGAGGGATGAAGACGCAGGAATTAGTGTCGGATGAGGGTGGCAGTTCGTCATCCGAACAGCCAGGTTTTTTCCCTCGTCCAAGCGTACTGCCATGTGGTCCGCCGTTAAATGCGGTAACCGGGATGACCATGCCGACGTGGGTACATCCCACACCACCCGGGGCCCCCAATGATCTGTTTGTGCATATCCAAATGGGAGAGACCTTGAACATTCTCGTCGGTAATGATGTGCAAAATATCACTGGTAAGTGGAGTTTACTAGTAATTTAGGTGTTCAAAGTTACCGGTGAGCTTCTTTTTTCTCTTTGAAGGACCAGCAACTGTTCGTATGGTTGGTGAATGTGGAATGTCTCCATCTGCTTTGCCCATTCATGTACCTCCTGGGCATGTTATTCATCAAATTGTCGACGAACAAGTAAGTTCAACTTTGTAGTAGCTGAAAATATTGTCAATGACGTTGGCCAATGACGTTTGTCTTGTTCCCCACACAATAGGGCTCCCGTGACGTAATTATAGCCATAGTGGGTGTTTTTATAGCTCCTGACAATTCGGCCCACTCCTTTTAATCATTTATTCATTTATTATGGAAGAAAAATCGATAAATGCGTGAGCGTATCTGAGTACATCCTGACAAATAGACTCTCTAATGAATAGAAAATGATCAGTTGTAATTTGTGTTTCATATGAAATGGCTTCGTTGTGAAGTAATGCTCACGAGCTATCGTGATGAAGAATTGTCTGTCGGAACGAATTGTGTTCCGCATTCCGATTTCCGGTTACAGTGTTCCTCTAATTATTCCATTCCTATAGTATCAGTCTCCAATTTCCGCCGTTGTGTTTTTTAGGGAAATTCCAGATGGTTTCGGGTAGGACTAGCTTGTTTCGAGGGCTTCTGGGTCCCCTTCATTTTAATTTTCATGTTTCTTGGAATAACATGAAATGAGAGTTCCAAAAATGACGTCATTCCTGAATTTTGTTCATTTAAGATTGATTGTTTTTCTTTTAGGAAGTTTAGTCTCCTACCATTTTCCTTATTGACTCTTTCCCCTGTTTACCTGCCTCATACAGCTGCTTTGTTCTCCTTCATATGTCCGATTAATCCCTTTCTCCCTACTTGTGTTTCCGCCCCATTTCCTGGCCTTCAATAGGATTCTATGCTTATTTGACTGGAAAAATATGCCATAAGGGAGTCTGTATGTAGTGAATCATTTGCAAACTTGGTAGTATTAGCTATTTGTGTAGTTGCAGACCGACTAATTGGCTTCACGGATTAAAACGGGACGCGATTACGCGACGCAGATGCCCACATATGTGCCACGTGCAATGCACGGGACCCCCCTCTATTCAGCGGGGCTCAGTTTAGTGACTCAGTATGGCGTCACTTTTCATCAATCATAGTTAATTTTGTGCTTTTATGTGAAAGATTCTCGAAACGCGCATTCGCGTGCACATTTTATTTCTAAGAAATGAATCGATTTAATTAATAGGGATGGTTCTAGGAGGAGTCGACACAGAAAGAGGGAGAGGGAGTGAGAGAGGGAAACGGAGAATGACGGAGGAAACGACAATTTCGACCGTGAATTTGATGCTTCTTTGTGTCCCTGATGTCCCTTGAGAAAATGAATTTAATTGGACTAGAGACTTTTGATTTTGTTATTGACGGGAATATACATATTTTTAGCGGACGTCATGAATAGATTGCTAAGTTATCTACCGTATAGCGGCTGACTGTTTTGTGAGCCCATGCTAACAATGAAGCTTTACAAGTAATTACTGGGTTGTGTTGGTCCCCTCGGTTTAGAGTTAGCCAATACTCTTCATGGATTTCGCAGTAATGCCCACACTATTTCACCAGGCCCCGTCGTTTATGTGACGAAACTGAACCGAACGAAGAAAGAACTTTGGTGGTGGATGGATGTGAAATGTGAGAAGTGATGCATAGAAAGAGCCAACTAGAAGCAGATGCATCTGATGGCGAGAAGGAAGAGGAGTGTGAGCTGGCTGTTAGCTAAACAAAGCATAAAAGCATACGGAACCATTGTCACCCTCGAATGGTTTTTATGAGATGGGATAGAATGACTGGTCACATCGCAGTCCCACTGAGCATCACCGTAATCCTGAACAGGTTCCTGCATTACTGTACGGCAGATTCTCTTCCAATAACGTTCAGAATATGTACTGGACGAGATACTTATTGAATTTGACCAAATGAGCTGCTATTCCTAGGCCTTCCATGGGAATAAGCTCACACGTCAGCCTAAGTTTAAAAANAAAAAGCTGTCAAATAAGGAAAGGACGGAAATAGCAGTCACAGCCCTTCAGGGAGTCTTGAGAGTGACGTTTGGGAGGGAACAGGAAGTTTTGACAACTTCAATGTCACCTCCTCTGAGAACAACCACGTTCTCACGAAATTCCTTCGTAGAGCTAAACTGAATAGGGTAATCCAGGCACAGATGAGGTCAGGAAATATCACAGAAAATGCTTAAAGGTAGTAGGATGTACCGGATGAAGGGCCTTCTTCTGGTCTTCCTTCCCCTTCTCTTTTGTTACCACAGAAGCCATTCGTTACGGTCAAGACTAGCTTCATTTCTTCTAAGGCCGATCTTGTGGTTCAGAGCTATCCAAAAGAATCAGAACTCAAACTTCTGCTTTCCGAATCTGGATACAGCTGTGGAGTTTAAATAGCCGGCTAATAAGCAATAAGTGGTTTCCAGTAAACAAATTTCTCCATGTGGTATCTGGAAATGATGGCGAATTCTCAAGATATTTACCATGCAGTACTGTCTCAATATTCATTACTTGCTGATTGAATAATGACGTCGACGAGAGCGCTGAGTTTGTTAGCGATTTTCCTCGTCATTGCTCATTAGCGAGCCGTAAAAAACCCCGGAGACGACTCGAAATAGATATTATTCGGGTGACGGATATCTGAATGTTCATGTACTGTTGTTGTCGTTAACATTAATTTGTTGATGAAGTAACAGAGTAACAGTAATGACATCATCCGTAAATGTAACCTCACGTCACCACATGTGGAATATTTGAAGGGGGAAAAAACCTTGAATGCGCTCTCGGAGAGCCCTCAACACGTCACTTTCCATTCGCTGTCAGTATCCTAATAGACATAGCAAATAGAGATTGTCAGAGCCCCGTTGGCTGTTGCGATGAATTGGGGCACAACCCAGCACATCAAGCCAATTGCAATGGACACATGACATTTGTAAAGGCCAGCATGCTTAGGGTGTCATTTAGTCCGGATAGGGGGCTTATCCTTTTCAAACACAAAGAATCTGTGATTATGCCTTCTTGATAGCTCATCTTCGACATTCAGCACTTCAACGTACGGACCTACTTTGCTGAGCAGGAGGGTTTATGTGAATGGATTTTGAAGGCCAGACTTCCTCACTGAAGCTGCAGAAAATATATTTTAAGCAGACACTTCGAACATTGGAAGCGGGGAATTTTTTATGGGAATGAGAGTTGAGTAGCCCAACGGGAGGCTTTCGCTTCGTCACCCTGTGGAACTTGCCGTTTCTGTGGGGATTCTGACCATGTCTGAGAAATAGGGGATTCTTCCCATCGCTGACAAAGTGCAATTTGTCCAAAAGAAGTCGGATGAGTCAAGTTCCGAACAGGCTGGTTATAATTAGGCGTAGCGAGCTCAACTTCTGCATAATACAAGTGCAGAATAAGTCATTGGACCAAAATGTTGATGTTGACCAACATCCTCCTCCAAAACAACCCGATTGGAATTCTTTTTGAATTTACAATCGTAAGTGATTAGCCATTTGGCTCGTGAGTGGCCCTTACATCTATAACTGCACACGGTTTATGCCATGGCCTCTTCATGAATGACGAGGACGAGTCAGTCTTTTAGGTAAAAAAAAGCCGATAAATGCTGGCAAGCCGTAAAAGGAAGAAAGGGCTGCTTCTGCGGAAAATGACGGCATTATTTCAAGTAATTTGTTAATTCTGTCTCAATAGAGGTTTTATAAAAACAGTTACTCGCCACCAAAATAGAAAGTTTCTGTGAAGTGATTGTAATGCTTGAGTTTGTCGTATTTGTGCCTTCTGCCTGGCCAGATCCCTGTGGGGGGGATGTGGGGACAGGAAGGAGTCAAGAGCACGGCACACCGAAGCATTGTACCCGATTCACAGAGGTGGATAGTCTTCTTGCCGTGGTCAGCCGCGGCTTCATAACTTAGCAAGTGGCAGTTGAAACGATTTAAGGACAACACCAATCGTTCTTTGCTGTACTGAAACTAGTAATCGGTTTTTGTAAAATCTTATACTGGTTTCGAGTTACATTTCAATGTTGGTGTGCTTGTTGTCGTTCATTGAATCGAAACGGCACGTCAATGATAGAACATTGTTATTTATTACTTGTCAAGCGGAGAAGTTCAACTAAAAAGGGACTGCCATTTGTCTCGAAATGGGGGCCCTTTCATGAGAAACTGTAATTTATTTTTGAACGAGGTTTCCAGTAAAATCATAGAGCATTCGTGGTAATATTTAGTCGCGGAGTTCTGAGCTGACTCTCCGTCAGGGGCACAGGGAGCACGATATAGGGATTGTCGTTCATGGAACCTGTTCTGGCTTCCGCCCCGCAATCGACTTCCATTCAGAATCGTAGCGTTGTTTTGAGTGGGTATATGGCCTATACAATGAGCTGTGTTGAACAGCAGATGTGGAAATCGGTGCTTTTATCCTCCCACACGAGTCCGAACCAATCAGCCGACCTCCCAGATAGTAGGCCTCGTTAGCTGAGTCGATATCGATCCTCAGACTGCGGATGTACTGGTGTGCGCCACTTGCCACTACACCACCAGCGACCATGTGGAGCACGATTGGTAACGGAAGTAGACTATTTGTGTAATCACTTGGCCCACATATCACAGACGTATCTCGCACGCGCCGTAACCTGGTTCAAAGATATCGAGCAGTCAGTAAGGTGCAAGCTATTTTGAAGTTACTCGAATAACTATGAGTGGGGTTACTAACTTTGAAGTCTACTGTGATAAGCCATGACTTTCATTTGTCCGGGAATGTTCGAAAAACTTGCTCAAACAGCGGATCTGCCATTGAGTTACAGATTGGGAACTGCTCTGGCTAATCAGACCTCTTATCCCTATATGGGTATTTTTGCGTAGTAATGGCAAATCGAAATTGGAACCTTATATAGCAGTGAACTGATGATGATACTTCATTCATTTTATGGCAATTAAATACTTGAAAAACGAAAGTGAATTTTGTTGAATAAAATTGACGCCATCACTTCCTAGAAATAGTAGACAACTAACAATATACTTACTCCTCATGCAGGATACCGGTAGAATCACTATCCTGATTTGATTTTAATTTTCCAATAGAGACAGGTACCATCTGATTGCGATCGTTAGTTAGTGAAAGATTTTATAGGAGTATCAATGTTTTAACTGGTTTGCCAACAGGTCTTTGGGCCTCGTTATTGCATAGACTAAATGACCATTCAGTTTACAAAACAGTTGCGGGAGCAGTCCAAGTTCGTGGCGCGTCCCGAATAATTTATTTTCTGATTTTAGGTTTTTTTTCCAATTTTATGAGTTCGAATTGGGCAGTAACCGAGTACTCAAAGGCTTGATTGGTTTTTGGGTTCTTCCTACTGCTTAATTGATTTTCTTGAGTGCGCCGCGCACTCCACTCCCTTTAGCAAACGGTTATGGTCTGCCATCCAGAAGTTTTTCAATACTCTTCCTTTCCACTTCAAAACTCAACGTAATAAGCCGTGAAGTGCCCATTTAATTGCTAGAGTCGTTTCCTTCTATATTTTACGCATAATTCTGACTACCATCATTGAAAGAGGGATTCTTTTCTGGTTTATAGACCAAGATTCATCAACCATGGCGGAAGAAAATCTTTCCGTCCATACGGTATTTTAAATTTTCGGGTTTCGTTTGTCCTTGTCTCGGAATGTTTTCATTTCTTCACATTGTAGTTTATCATCCATTCTTTTTTGGCCTAAGGATCTTTTCGTTGAATATAGGCTCGGATTTGGTGAGTGTGGAGAGCTCCAAAGCTTGTAACTTTGATGCGACTGACTTTTCATGTCCTCTACAGTACCGTCTTCACGTACGCATTCGTGCACATCGTGTATTAGTGTTAATGAGGCGAATTACTTCAGTAGTTCTGGGAACAATCACCATAAAGTCCGTTTGTGACAGTTCAGTTGATAATTCCCGACTGGGGTAGAGATAAGGGCACCCGGCGCCGGTGTTTTCTCGGAGGTGGTCTGAAATCGGGATTGACGTCACTGAACAGTAGGGAAATGATGTGTTCATACTATACTGATACATGTTCATGTGATATTACTGGAAGCGTATGCTTACAATGTAGGGGATGTATTGGTTCCATCATAATTTGAATAAAGTGCGAGTTGATTGATGATGTCGGAAGAAAATGTATGGGAGCACGGGTGTGCTTTCGTTGTCCTGGAGACGAAGTTATGAATTTGTTATTCATGAATAAAAAGTTTGAAAATTTAAGAACAGGTTCTTTTGTCATCCTTCTCTTCCTTCAATAGAACATAAATACGGTATTTTTGCTAAAGGGGGAAGCAAGTCCTATTCAGATTGAGTAGTTACTAGTATTTGGTGATCTGAAAACAGATTTTAAGTTACTAAGGATCGTGTGGAAGTGGGCATCAAAAGGCTTGGAGTTTCAAATGTTTCTGATACCGAAACAACTTTTCGGAGCACCCTGGAAGTGTTTAGATCGGCTCAGTTATGTCGAGCTGCAGCAAGCTCACGGGACTCGGAAATCGGAATTCGTATGAAACATTGACATAGATCAAAATCTTCCCTGAAAATTATGAGTCAGAAATCTCTATTGTTGCCTGTATAGAATATTTAATTTTTATTCACTGTAGCACAATCGCTTTATTGAAATATCGAAGAAAGTTAAAAAGTTTAAGTGAACAGTAAGTGTACTAGTAGTTAAGTATATGAAATCGTTTTTTCAGGGTATCTTGCGGCACTTGATCCTCTCTCCCGAAACGCCATCACCGCCTCGGTTCCCTCCACCGAGTGCTGCGAATTCGGTAAGACTTTCTTGTCCTTTCATCGTCGTTAAAGAAAAATGTTTTGAGAAATTGAGGAAAACAAACCCTCAAACAAAACAAACCGAAGCGTCCTGTCTTCCCTGAACTTATTTGGAATGCGCCAGGCATTTAACCTCCCTCCTTATTCTAGTGCCGTTTATGTGTCTGTTTGCTCTATATAAGGGTTCACATATTTTGACAGATTAATCAGAGTGTCTTTCCATGAGCAAGTCTAATTTTAACCGATCAACTTCGATGAATCAAAAAGTTTGCGGCCGTTGGTCGGTTGGGAGTTTGATCGTTCAGATGTGGGGGCTAATTTCAGACTATTCTTGGCGTCACTACACCTCCGCATACCCTGTAAAGTTTATCGTTTCTGTAGAACCGTTTGGATCATCCTCTCTTCCCGAGAAAAGCTCCCCTTCTTCTCCGATCAGCTTTTTACAATGTTCTTCCTCTCATTGCTGACATTTCTGGGATTTTTGGGATTTTCTAAAGTGCCCTGCCCTGAGCGATCTATTTCGCGTTCACAGAATATTATCAAGAAAACGTTTTGCAAGTTGCAAGTCCAGAGTGTTCTGGGAAAGTGGTTGGATCGTTGGAGATCCTGAAAACAGCAATATCCACGATTAGTGTTTTTGTACGGTGAGAAAGCGGCTTCATTTGCTCAGCGTACGGTGCGTGATAGCCTTAGTTTTTTTCTTCTGCGATGACAGCCCATAATCTTGAAGCGATAAATACCATCCCGTCTTAGGCTGCCATATCATGAGCAGAAAATAGAACGATGACGATAATAGCTAAAAACCATGCTCGCGATGACATGTGTTTGTACACTGACGGAAATGTCTGGACATTTACAAAAAAAAACTAACAAAAATTATGGCTATCATTATCATAGCTATTTTTCAGGGATTCATGTCATCACGTATCGCCTCATCGCCCCCGTTGGCTGTGCCACCATTTCATCCGGCTCTCTACACAGTGAATCGTAAATGGTCCCACAATGGCAAACTGACAATTCCGGATCTTGTACCGTCAGCAGCATCTCGCAACGACGAACAGGTCCGTCTGGAGAGCTACATTGAGCAGAAGCTGGAAATGGAATCGTTAGAATTACCATGATGTTCCATTCCCTTTCAGGAAACCGATATTGACGGTGAAGAATGGGATAAAGTACGTGAAATGTTGGGACGTATTCTTGCGCCACAAGTAGTTCGTGTCGGTCCAACCGAAGCTGACATTGCCTGGCAACAACTGGATACTTCGGAGGTATGTTAAGTGATTCTGTATAGTTTGGTTACCAAATTTCTGGTGGAACCCCCCTATACGCGACAAGAGTCTGTGATTGGTTGCCTCCAGCATTTCACCAATCACAACCNGGAGTTCATGGATTACTTACATGAGCCTGGAGACTGATTCCTGAATATTATTTATTATTCTCTGCGTAAATTATGCTCGTTATGCAGGCTGCCGCTCCTGGAGGTCCGTTCCCTCAGATCGATGCCTCTGAATTCACCTATCAAATCGTGCTATTTGAGAATCATGGTAGATTCGTTAGTACGTACAGGTAAGCTGTTCTTTATTGCTTGGATTTGCAAAGTTTTCAAAAGTTCAACACAAATCGATCGCCAGAACTCAAAGGGGGTTTTGGGGCTACTTTGAAGGTAGAAAACATTCGTTTTTTCTTTTTTATATTCTGGGGACAGATAAGTGATGGCTGTTAGCAGTATACTAAGATTTTGATAGTCACTTTTTCCTCTTGTCTTCTCAATTAATTCCCTGCTTTTTCGTTTTCCAATCAGTAGCCGATCAATAACTATCGATCGATTAGTTCAGATGCGAGACGGAGACCGGCAACAAACTGCGTCTTTGTCAGCTTCGTCCGAATACCGATTATTACGTGCAGTTGAAGGCTTGCCTTGAAGAACGTGGTTTGGTCGGTGAACCGAGTCAACCAGTATGCTTCAAGACAGCACCAGGTCGACCAGAAGCACCTCTAATGTTCCGGTAAGTTCACCTCAAAAACTCGCAACGCTTGCCCGGTCTCACTGACTAGAATGGAGAATGACTATAATCTAACCTTTGGACGAGGTGTGGTAAACCGAGACGAGTTGGCGGATTGACCTCGAAGTTTGTTTACTTGCCGGCTTGACCCCATAGTTTGTTTACTTGCATGGTCCGCAAGCAAATGTTGAGCGGCGGACTTAGAGCCTTTGATAGCAGGTCAGGGAACGGATGTGGCATCATTTTTTTACTGAAAAACTTGACCACAAGTAGTTTGACTTCAAAATTGTGAACTGGAATACAAACCTGACGGATTCTTTTTGGTTTTGTTCTTTATTTAATTACTAGTATTGTCTTCAAGAAGAGGATCGCCAAGTTAGATTGTTTTGTCTGGTTTTACTAAGGGTACATTGAAAAAGTGTATGTGTTAGAGGCAAGTAATCAATATCCAATTTTATTGTGTTTAGGTGTGTTTCGCGCGGAATCGATCATCTTGTTGTTGCTTGGCGACCGCCCAACGATAATGGCGCAAGCATATCTAACTATACTGTGTACATTAGTAAGGTGAGTTTTTGTAGGAAGGCTCATAGGCATGCTTATGTTGCGGAGCTCACCTGTGATTGGTCATCGTGAGTAATCCACCAATTGCAAGCACTTTCCGCGCAAAACAGGCGTACCCAATCCAGCATTTATAATTTGCACATCCACTGAAAGTCTTTTTTTTTCTTTTAGTTGAAGTGCTAGATTCTTAACCATTGTAGATATAAATTTCAGCCGTCGGATGATGTTGGTGAAAAGGTATGGGAGGGTAGGCTATGTGAGGCACGTATCACCAACCTACGACCTGCCACCTCGTACAGGTACGAGCTTTTTTCCTTGCTACTTGCTTTTCTTGATATGATCTTCTGATTTGGTAGTTACAAGTGAATTTTATGTAATCGACCAAATGAGGTCGTGTTCCCAATAATGTTCATCGGGAACCAGCAGACGTCCAGATTTCTAGCTTTTACTAGTATTACTAATTGGACCCTGTTCTTCCTTCCCTACAGCTACATATGCTACTTTTTGAAATTTACTGGGAGTAATGGATGTTGTTGAAGGCTTCGAGTGACGGCAGCCAACCGTATTGGTGAAAGTTCTGAAGCGCCTCCGATTGTTGTCACGACACGAAGTGATTGTCCTCCACCTGCTCCTCCTCCACCAAATGTGGTTTCTGTGAATGCTCGTTGCGTGAAACTAGCTTGGAGTAATAATCCTGAATGTACTTATACGGTAAGAGACCTTTTAGCAGTTCTACTTATGAATTTAGTAGTGTAAGTTGCAAACTTTTTTGTTATCTCTCCATTTTAGGTTGAGATGCATGATGTTGCCGCTGGACCAAACGCTATAAGTGTCGTTAAGGATCGTGTAGGTGGTGCTAGTGCACAAATTATGGACCTGAAAGCGTTAGTTTTTGTTTATATGTTGTTCAAGTGCCAGATTTTACTATGTAGTACCGAGATTGATTCGGGGGGTGCTGCCATTGGCGGAACGGACAACCCACCAATCGCGGCCCCCTCCCCCGCTCTCGTGAGCGCGCATAATGCACCGCGAAGCAGGGTTCAAAGCTATATATTTTTTCTAGTTTTGTTAGCCAACAAACTTAAGTTGTACAATTTTCAGCGGTTGCGAATACCGCTTCCGAGTAATCGCACACAATGCTGAAGGCGAGTCACCACGTTCCGAATGGACGTACGTACGCATGACAGGCCGTGGCACTCCTGATCGGGTTCTGGAACCCACGAAGCCAGTGGCTGTAGCTCGAGGCCGTAACAAGTTTGATGTATCGTGGAAGTGCCCTGGAGCAAAGTGAGTGAAATTGAGCTTTCGATTCGAAACTTGTTATCACAGCTGGTCTCCAAAAGAATTAGTCACTTTCAAGGGATCGCGAATTCACATATGTGCTGGAGGGCTCTACAGCAAACCAACCCAATCGTTTTCGCGTTCTGTATCGTGGACCGCTTAGTACTCATACAGTAACCGATGAGGATATTGTTCATCTACGTGTCCAGAGTATAAACAGGAAGAATGTTGCGGTGAGGAATCCTTTTTAGCTTCCTCGTTTCAGCCTGAAAAGCCGCGACAAACGCAGCTTTTAATACAAATGAGCCTATTTACAAGTTACACTGTCTTTCGGGTGATGCCAGGTTACAGTAACATGCTATCTATTCAATATGAGTCATGTGTACACAGTCTGAACTCAGTAGCTCTTGTTATGTTAAAAGCTCCAGCAAGCGGGTGGCCCCTCAGGATGGTACCGCCCACACTACCCATTGGTGCGCTCCTTCCAGACCTCGTGACTGTAAATGGAAGTATAAACCTGAACTATAATAGATTAGCATTAGCAGCAATTTTGACTCGAGCGTTGTCCATAACTTCTGTTGCTGGTTTTAACTTAGATATACTAATAGTGCCCCCCCCCNCCCCCCCCCCCTCCCTATCTCTATGTCCTGGTCGTAAACTTCATTATTTATTACTCAGTTTGATGATTTTTATTTTGTTTCAGAGTGATTTCTCCGAAGTAATCACGCTGGTACGTGAGCCTGAGCTGATAATCACAAAGCCATCTCAACTATCCTCTCCGGCTATTGAAGGTTTCGGGAAAGGAGCCGTTCGCGTGTCATGGACTGTACCTAAAACTGTGGTGAGCCCGCATTTTTTTATTCAAAGTCGAAGCAGCATCCAAATCGCCAGTCGGCTGTCGTTGCGAACATCTTATTGCTCTGATGTCAGAACTTAACTACCATTGCCATTGCGCCTTTTTCTGCAGAGCTTAGGTTAAAGCGTATCTCTGGCGGGCTGATTCCAGTGATATGAGGTCAGATAATCTCTTCAGATTCCTCCAACGGCCACATTGATGTTCGAAGTCCGGCGCATCGACGACAAAAGCGAGATCGTTTATTCTGGATCAGAGCCCAGCTGTCGATTGGAAGGTCTGTCAAGCCGACAACACGTTGAGGTTCAGGTGGGAGTTTAGTGCAATGCAGAACGAGTGCCGGTGGATTAAAAGCTTTTTCAAAGTGAGTCTGTTCAAGGTTCGCGCAGTCGTCATCGCTCAGGATGGTTCACGTCATGAAGGCGATTGGAGTCCGGTTACTGGTGGCAACGCTCCCCGGGATGCGCCAAACACACCTACTGAATTGGCGATTAACAGCGAGAGGTATGTTTTCAAACGCTGCAATAAATAGGCATGTGGGATTGTTCCCTTCTATTGTGGATACGCCATGTATTTCCGACATGACTGACAATCCCAGTGGCGTTTTAAGGGTGCTCGTTTCCATTGCAGTCATTTACAAGCAGATGTGCAAGGCCATCTCTTATCCTCTTGAGTTTGTGTGGTCCTAATTAGGCAACTATGCTGTGATATCTAGTTAGATACGATTAATTTGCATCCAGAGTTTGACCATCAAATCATGAACATAGCAACCGCACAGCTCCTCGTTACCTTAAACTACAGGATTGAGAAGGGGGCAGAGGAAAAGGGAATTTCGCACATCAGGGAACATGCAGTGCATAGTAAGATTTTTTAGGCAGCGAGCATCTGGGTGGCCCTGAGCATTACCGTGCAATTACGTTCTTTTTTGATTCATTTTTCGGTTTCGGTATCGTTTATTGTGAGATTCCTACCACTTTCGAAAATGAAAGTTTTTCCCGTTTCGCATCATTCATATTAGGATGCCCAGAAATCTAACCTTGGTCAACAGAAGCTTTAGTAAGGGGTATACCTGATCATAAACCAAGCAAAGACTAGTATGGATATCCTGTTTCGTACCTGTCGTATAAGCGATACCCAGAAATCTAACGGGCTAAAACAGAAGTTGACTAAAACAAAGTGGGAAACTAGTAACACTGATACAAAGTTTGGAGGTGTACGAGCTGGTTCTGGTGACATTTGATGGCAGGTTCCAGTCATTGCCCAAAAAAAGCTCTTGCTCCGTGCGTGGCCAAGTAGTTTCTTAAGGGTTATAATAACTGAGTTTCTTCAAAAGTCATGAAAATAATTGTAATAACGCAGTAGAGAACTAAAGGAACCAGTAACTCTTTCTACAGTACATAACTCGAATGAGGGCTTGTTAATGGTTGATCGTCAGAATTTCCCCAAACTAGGCCTTCAATTTTGCAACCCACATGATGTTTCCATTTTACGCTTTCATAGCTTTTTTTACGGGATCTTAATCTAATAGCGAGTGATAGAGTGATAATATCGATGTGTTTAAGGGAAAAGTAATCTGTGATATTATAACGAAGCGTATTTATAAATATCTATATACATTCCATATTTACAGAAAATAATCGTGCTTGAAATGAATTACATAGGCAAATTTGCAAGGATGTCTCACAGCTACTTTGGCCGTTAGCCGAATTTATACTAGACTTTTTTGATGCGCTGCTCGCTTATGCCATCGATCGATATTGATGTATTTCGTTCTCGTTCAAAAGTGCACGAGTTCTAACATTGTAATGTCATCATATTTTCTTTATTGATTTTCTTTTTTTCAAGGACGATGTTGACGTGGAAAGCTCCGGAATCGTCGCCAGATATCCGTTATCGCGTTCACTGCAGTCAAGTGATGACTGGTCACGAGACCGAAGAGACCGTAAGCGAGACGGGAGAATGTCATTACTCGTTAGCGTTACTCGATCACGCTAAGCAGTTCACATGCAGGGTATGTTCGTAGGAGCTTTATGGGTCAAATCACGCTTGGATTCTTTTGATTTTATCGAGTAACATGGGCCCCTGTACAAGTTGTGATTGATCGATATGTGTATGTTTGCGGCGAAGTGCAAAACTTTTCACTTGGGGTGGCGATGTCCTTGAATTTCGACATTTTTCCATGTACTTTAAGGAATTCGGAGAACTCTCATCGTGACAGTCGAAAAGAGTTTATCCCCGATCGGAATGAGATTGAGAATGTAGGGGACCATCTGAATGGATACGATTGACAGCATGTTTGTAAAAAGACCTCCTCTATCTATTATGCGATGGCTTTTTACTTGGAAGCATTCATAAGCGCGGAAACCGAGTCCGTTCTTTTATTGAGACCTTAAAAATGAGCACTGGACCGATCAAAATTTCAGAAAGCTCAAGTGATGGCTCGGGCCTTGAAACTCCGATCCGTTCCCATCTTTTGATTCCGAACATTCCGCTTTACCAAAACTTTACTGCATTACTTCTCCTACTTATTTATGTTGTCAAAACTGGTATTTTGTAGGTGTCTGCTTTCCATGACGGTGGAGAATCGCCTTTGTCACAGCCGCTGGTTTTCACCACTCGTAGCGGAGCACCAGCCCAACCTGATGGTATGAATGTTATTGATTGTTATGTAAACATATGAGTTCGTTACAGTAGCTGGGTCATGTTTTACTAGCGATCTTATTCACCTACCAGTAAACAGGCCGTTACGCGACCGCACGCGTACTCGCACGATGTGCACCTATGTCCGTGACCCAGGATCCGAAATCTTCTTCTAACAATAACTTAAAATTTAGGTATCACCATCGAATCTGACGGAACCAGAGCACTGGTAATTCGTTGGTCCGTACCTGATTGTCGCGGCTCGCCAATAACACAGTATGTGCTGCGAGTTGAAACTAAGAGCGAGGTTTGTACGAACAGAAAGTAACTACTAGTAGTTGGAAGATGACCTATCGTTCCTGGCTATAAAAATCCCATACAAATAATACTTTCGACGTTTAGATGGTTCGTGAAATTTCCATCACTCCACCGGCCAGTTCGGGTTCATGCGAATACCGTATAGCGGATCTGCAAGCGGATACTGATTACCGAGTGGAACTGTCAGCTGAAAATGCTGTTGGATGTGGTATAGCGGCCGCAATCACTGGACGAACTCGTCCACCTCCTCCAGATCCGCCAAAGTATGTCTGAAGTATAAGTTTTAAACCACAATAAGTCGTACCTAGTGAGCTTGTGAAAGATAAATTACGTCGAAGTTGGAGTTTTTGGGAGTAGAAATTCAAAATAGAAGGGAGTATTGTTAAGTTGGGAATTCTGGAGCCAATTTATTAGTGCAACAGTATGTCACGGCAATGTTCATGGCTTCTACTTCCGTTGTGTGGTGTGCGGTTTTTTTGTGCTGGTTCATTCCAGCCACTGAAAAACACGAAAGTTTAAGNCATGCATCTGACTAGATAAGGGCAACGATTCAAATTATAGGATGGAATGTGAATGCGATGCAACCAGCCTCCGTCTACGTTGGAAACCATCTACGAATCATGGCCTTCTAACCTACAAGTATGTACCAAGTACCTTCCTTTGTGACCTTGTCGTCCAACTTGCTGTCAAATTGTAATTTCAGAGTCATTCGCCTCGGTGAAGGGGACAAGGTCATCTCGGTGTATGAAGGCGACTTGTGTAGTACACGTATTAAAGGACTCGTGGAGAACACCGAATATCGATTCCAGATCAGAAGCACTGATCGGTGAGTTTTGGGAGTGGCCGTAGTTCTCGCGCGAACTTGCCGCTTGCCGCGGGCGGAGACCGTGTGCGGCTTGAAATTCTTCTAGACTTGTCAAATATACCACGGTGAAAACAGTCGATTTACAGCTTTTGAGTGATGTCTTTTTTCAAGTCCCTGTCCTTACTACTTATGACTTCATAAACAGTAGTTCTAGGCACACTGGTGCCGGCCCATGGTCATCGGTGTATGCATTCCGAACAGCGCTCAGTCCACCACCAGCTGTCAAGGGACCACCGACAGCAACACCAAGCGGTTAGTGGGCTTTTGGGTGGATCTCTTCGATGCCGTCTTGTCTTCTGGAATACCGTAATTGTTCAAGGTGATGGCTACTACCAACTTGAATGGTCATCGGTCATCACAAAGCCGAACACGAAGAAATGCTTTTATCGTCTGCAAGCCGTTGATTGCTCTATAGATAATGCTAAGTGGATGACGGTTAGTGCTCATTCATCGTTTTTTTTTTTGCGAGTCCGTTTTACTTTATTTTGAATTATTTACTTTTCAAGGTCTATGAAGGCACCCTTCCTTCTCATACCCTACGTCTTTCCGATTATCCGTCAGCAGTGCAGGCTCGTGTAATGTGTGTACGACCAGAAGGTGACAGTGAAATCTCTTCACCGCCCAGTCCAATCGTGTACATGGCGAACCTCCCGCTGGATAATGATGTTCAGGTGAGTTTTCAAGAAATTTGTGCGTCAACCACAACGTATATTCTGCAAAGGCAGATCGACCACGTTGTTTACGAAATAATCAAATCTTTTCAGCCTATCCAAGAGAAGAAAGTCGATACAATTCCAGTTGTGCGCTGGTGGACAATGCAATGCAGTTTGACCACTATCATGGTGGTGAGTCAATACTTGAAGCCCTCCCATTACTACTTTGCTGTACTCTTTCAATAAATATGTAATACGCTCGAGCAGCGCGCAAAATGTAAAACTGATAATTACGATGAATTATTTGTTCAATAGGATCCGGATCCCGACATCTCGATTAGATTCGAGGTGATCCACTTGGTTGAGCGCCCACTGCCCCTTGGCGATTTCCATTTTCTCCTTTCTCCCTAGTCTTTCTCATCTTTTTCCTCCTCGTAACCTCAATCTTACTTTCCGATTCGAGCTCCACTTGACTGAGAGCACGATCTGCCTTTCTGTCGTGGCTGGGCTCCACAATTTTAAGCATGCTTAAGGAGTGCTATGTGTTGCGTTAGCACCCTTTTTGATTCCAGATACGAGATTATGTAGTAAGTACCGCCCATTCGGAAAAGTTCCGCCCACTGAGGGTGGCTTGTTTCATAACATTTGCCAACTCACCGTTATCGATTTCCTCTTTGTCTCTACCGTTATTTGAATGAGACCCGGGAAGTTTCCCTTCCGGCACCCTACATTCGGTTCCTGCATTGCTCCGGAAAACCGCTTACAATCTGTTAGTTCACATGTGCTCTATTCATCTTGATCTTCGCCCCACCCCTCCAGGCACGCCTTTCTTCTCTCCAAGTAGTTGTTCAGGTGGTACCGAGTTTTGTATCGCTCATATTCCATTTCAGAGCTTGAACACATCAACAGGAGTTTGCAGTAGTACAGTAACAGTAGCGGATTTCAGGTGCTTTTCATTGTCGTCTCATTCACAATGGCGTTATTCTTCGACTCAATGTTCAATTTGTACGTACCACCAAATACCGTTCATGGTGTACGCGAAGATAGTACTGGTTCACATGAATCACCACGTACAACATAATGAAGCAGTAAGTAAACGGTGAACACGTGACGTTTACCTGACGAACTGATCTGAGGCGTTTTCACATCAAGTCATACGCATATGCTAGTTTCAGTTATTTTTAATGTATTTATTATTAGCCCATTATTCTATTTCCATTACGATGATCATGACCAATTCCGTTGATGACCTTTCTGAATTTTCTCCAGAAGAAAAACATCTACGAAAAAGTTTGAAAACAGTTTCTGTACTCTTCAAAAAAGAGAGCCCACGTGTGTGGAATGTTTGATTACACGATGATCATACGGCTTCAAGTCGACTAATTGATTTTCTTTTTTTTCACATTTTCTTTGCCCTCAACCCCTATTATTGAAATCCTACATATTGATTGGTGAGCTGTACTTTACTATTACTATACATATTTACAATGTTAGCTGCTGCTGCTATTGCTGTGTCCGCCGTTCTTTGTCAGGAGAGCATCTCCGAACTCCGCATCCTCCCGTCCCCCTTCCCACTAGCATTCTTTTGTCATCTGTGTGTACATATGCGTTTCGAATTGTATTTCATGTAGAGCCTATCGCCTCGAGTGTTCTCTCGCGCCTTTCCCTTCTACCGAGTGACTTTTTCTGTATTACTATACTACTATATTGTACTACTATACTGTTACTATATCTACGCTACTCCTACGGTCCACTAATCGTATTCGTCCTCATTCCTGAGTTCATGTCAATCGCGTTGTTCTCGTCTCATCGTTTTCTTCGTTGCTCCATCCCAATCCCCTTTCTTTTCCCTTTTTTTTNTTGTACGTCATCCTCTCGCCGTCGTGGTGTCGTCGTACTTCTCGTCGCCATGTCCCTTTCACCTCCCCCTTCTTTTCTTTTTCCTTCATCCAATCCCCAATTGCAGCGTGTCGTATACTCTCTCGTTCACATCCATCAAGTGTGTGTTCGGGTTTGTAAACATGAGAATTCTGTGGTCGATCATAACATATTACCAGATTGTGATGTTCTATCCAACTATTGCCTTTTTTCTCTTAAAAACCATTATGATTTTTATTTGTTCTACAGCGTATCTTTTCGGGAGGATTATAGCGTTTCCCTTATTTATTGTGCTATTTATCTTATTCGGGTTCATCGTGTATGTCACTTTGCGAGGATCGCTTATCGGCGATACGGCACGGTAGCGCAGCGCAACGCAAAAAACCGACGTCGATTAAGGCTGAAAGTGATTGTCCCGTCCAATTTGGACGAGTTCTGAGCCAGCCTATTTTTCGCTGGGTCACGGTTACTTCTGTGGGTGTGGATTATATGGTTATAGCAGCTCGTCTGATATGGGATTGGCAACATGGGAATTTCCGTTTCCAGCATGTTAGCCGCCCACATCGATCCATTGCGGTATTGTGCACTCCTGCCTCCGTCGTGCGCAGAATCTTACTATCGATTTATCGCCCGCGCGCGCAATTTCGCCTCCATGCGGTCCCCCTTGCGACACGCCAAGTTGCTACAGCATTAGGTCAACTGTGTTTGAAAAAAATCGCCAAGTGACATAGCCATTGATTCCCAATTTCGCCTAATGGATTTATTTCTTGTGATCGGATTCGTTCACTCGCTCCTAAAAAACTCGATCAATTCCGTAACGGCGACTACTGTGAGCGATGCTGAACGACTCCGACTCACATAACTGCTTTCCATGAATTTCGCAGTACGTACAGCGTACAAACGATCGTGATGTTTCTGTGATTCTATCTAGTTTTGAAGAAAAAGTGTATGAGAAAGTGCAAAGCATAATATTGAATGATGGATAACAATGCATGAGTATGAGCAATGTTGTAGTTGTTGTGAATGGATAGTACAGTGCACGTGCGCATGAAATGTTTACAACAAATACTATTTGTGTATACATCAAATGTGTATTGATTATTGATTGATTGCGCAAGCACCGTATCTACCATTCAATGTAAAAATTTCATACACAATACAAACCATGCACATACACACTATGACAAGTTTATTGGTGAACATTTTCATATGGTAATGATGAATGACGTATTGCAACAGGCATTTTTGTACACTCCAAGCCAAATTAGCAGTTTTAGAACGTTGGTACGCGATTTATTTGTTTCTCTTGTAATAAAGTATTCTGCTTTCTTTCTTGAATGTACACAATTAAAACATGACTAGGTATATTAAATTTTCTGTGCCTGAAACTTTGCATTTACTCTTAAAGGTGCAGCGAAGTGAGCGGGACTAACAAGGGAGCGTCCAGCGGGTTGCCGCGCCCCCTACCTCTAGTCATTGAGCTGATTATATCAAAGGAGAGCAGCCACATCATTCAGAATGGACATGGCTTGCCTCTGGACGATTTGACCGGCGGTTTGGTTTGGGAGGAAGGGTTGTTTTCGGTTGTTTCGGTTCCTGACTTTAGCTAGATGTATAGACACTCGTTGGGTGCGTCTACTCCCCGTCTCCATCCAGATTATTTCGGTTTCTATGAGAAGGTGCACGCGAGAAATTCCAGGTGTGGTCGTGCGCTGGAATTTCTTCCTTGCCTATTCAACTGAATGGAAGGTCAGTATTCAGGAATTCTGGTCAGTTTGGCTGATTCTCTGTCCTTGAGAGGGTGTTCATTATGTGGTACACTACCCAAGGTCTCAGTTGACATCGTGGACCATTGCTCATTTGAATCATTCCACGACTATGGCATGAGAACGAGTGCACCTCGCACTCGCACATGAAACCCAGGCGGGAATAACTACTCATTAGTGAATGGCAGCTGAGGTTCCATGGCTTTGCAACACCGGGGAACTTGCTCAACTCTGAAAATTTTCTGAAACTTGTGGATCGTTTCGCGAGCCCTTCGTATGTGACGAGATTATTCCTTCACACTTGGCCACACGTTGGACGGATGCAGATTATCAGTAATCACGGGTTAGGTGTACCTCCTGTTTTTATCCGACACTCCCAAAGAGCGTTTTCACAGCTTTTTTATTCTTTGCATTTTCCAGTGATTTGAATGGCCTCCTGTAATTAGTTCCTTTCTTAGAAGCTATATGCCATCAATGCTGAAGAGAGCTACAGCACTCACGGACCAGAGACCATCCATTTGTTCAATTTCTCAAAATGCCTCATATGCATAGGTTTTCAACTCATCTCGACAAGCTGAATTCAAAAATCATACATTTGACATGATTTGGGAGCGATTTTTGAATTCAGCTTGTCGAGAGGAGTTGAAAACCTATGCATATGAGACATTTTGAGAAATTGAAATTTTTTCTACTTTTTTTCGTAATGGTCCCTCGCATGAAAATTTTGAAAAAATTTGATACTCCCAAATCATGTCAAATGTATGATTTTTGAGTTCAGCTCGTCGAGATGAGTTGAAAACCTATGCATATGAGGAATTTTGAGAAATTGAAAATTTTTCGACTTTTTTTTCGTAATGGTCCCTCGCATGAAAATTTTGAAAAAATTCGTACTC